ATTTCTAACCAATCAATTTAAAAGTCAAGACACTTAACATCTTTATGGCTTGCCTTAATCCTTTGGACTGGTTGCAAATTGGGAAAGGAGTATGTAAAAGCTATATACCGTCACCCTGCTTATTTAACTTATATGCAGAGTATATAATGTGAAATGCCAGACTGGATGAAGCACAAGCTGGAATCAAGACTTCTGGGAGAACTATCAATAACTTCAAATATGCAGATGAAACCACCCTAATGGCAGAAACCAAAGAAGAACTGAAGAGCCTCTTGATGAAAGTGAAAGTGTAGAGTGAAAAATCTGGCTTAAAACTCCACATTCAAAAAATGAAGATCATGGTATCCAGTCTCAACATTTCATTGCAAATAGATGGGGAAAAATTGGAAATGGTGAAAGAGATTATTTTCCTGGGCTCCAAAATCACTGAAGATGGTGACTGCATCCATGAAATTAAAAGACACTTGCTCCTTTGAAGAAAAGCTATGACCAACCTTAACAGCATATTAAAAAGCAGACATTAGTTTGCCAACAAAAGTCTTAGTCAAAGTTGTGGCTTTTCCAGTAGTCATGTAAGATGTGAGAGCTGGATATGAGCGACCAAGAATTGATGCTTTTGAACTGTGGTGTTGGAGAAGACTCTTGAGAGTCCCTTGGACTGTAAGGAGATCAAGCCAGTCTATCCCAAAGTAAATCAGTCCTGGATATTCATTGGAAGGATTGATGCTCAGGCTGAAACTCCAATACTTTGGAAACCTGATGGGAAGAACAGACTCATTTGGAAAAGACCCTGATTCTGGGAAAGACTGAAGGCAGGAGGAGAAGGGTGTGGCAGAGAATGAGATGGTTGGATGGCATCACCAACTAGATGGCCATGAGTTTGAGCAGGCTCCAGGAGTTGGTGATGGACAGGGAGGCCTGGCATGCGCAGTCCATGGGGTCACAGAGTCAGACAAGACTGAGGACTGAACTAAACTTGGTCCTGAGATTAAGTCACCATGACCTTGGCCACTTTCTCTTACCTTGGACGTGGGGTATCTCTTCACAGCTGCTCCAGCACATCACAGTCACTGCTCCTGACGTTGAACTTGGGGTATCTCCTCCTGGGCACTGGACGTGGGTATCTCCTCTCAGCTGCTCACTGCTCCAGCACTGCACAGCCCCACAAGGTAAGAGAAACCCCAGTAAGATGACAGGTGCTGAGAGAGGGCATCAGAGGGCAGACAGCCTGGAACCACAGTCACAGAAAACTAACCAGTCTCATCACAGGACCACAGCCTTGTCTAACTCAATGAAACTAAGCCATGCTGTGTAGGGCCACCCAAGATGGACGGGTCATGGTGGAGAATTCTGACAAAATGTGGTCCACTGGAGAAGGGAATGGCAAACCACTTCAGTATTCTTGCCTTGAGAAACCCAGGAACAGGATGAAAAGGCAAAAAGTTAGGACACTAAAAGATGAACTCCTCAGGTCAGTAGGCACCCAAAGTGCTACTGGAGCTCAGTAGGGAAATAAATCCAGAAAGAATAAAGAGATGGAGCTAAAGCAAAAACAACACACAGTTGTGGATGTGACTGGGGATAGAAGTAAGGTCCAATGCTGTAAAGAGCAATATTGCATAGGAACCTGGAATGTTAGGTCCATGAATCAAGGCAAACTGGAACTGGTCAAAGAGATGGCAACAGTGAACATCGATGTTTAGGAATTAGTGAATTAAAATGGACTGGAATGGGTGAATTTAACTCAGATAACCACTGTGTCTACTACTGTGGCCAAGAATCTCTTTGATGAAATGGAGTACCCATCACAGTCAACAAGAGAGTCTGAAATGCAGTACTTGGATGCAATCTCAAAAACGACAGAATGATCTCTGTTCGTCTCCAAGGCAAACCATTCAATATCACAGTAATCCAAGTCCATGCCCTGACCAGCAACACTAAGTTGAACATTCTATAAAGACCTACAAGACCTTTTAGAACTGATACCCCAAAACGATGAGTTTTTCATTATAGGTGACTGGGATACAAAAGTAATAAGTCAAATACCTAGAGTAATAAGCAAATTTAGCCTTAGAGTACAGAATGAAGCAGGGAAAAGGCTAATAAGAGTTCTGCCAATAGAAGGAACTAGTCAGAGCAAAGAGCCTCTTCAAACCACACAAGAGAAGACTACATATGGACATCATCAGATGGCCAACAATAAAATCAGATTGATTTATATTCTTTGCAGTCAAAGATGGAGAAGCTCTATACTGTCAGTAAAAATGAGACCAGGAGCTGACTGTGACTCAGATCATGAACTCCTTATGGCCAAATTCAGATTGAAATTAAAGAAAGTAGGGAAAACCACTAAACCATTAACGTATGACCTAAATCAAATCTCTTACCATTATACAGTGGAAGTGAGAAATAGATTTAAGGGACTAGATCTGATGGAGTCCCTGATGAACTATGGACAGAGGTTCATGACACTGTAGAGGAGACAGGGATCAAGACCATCCCCAAGAAAAAGAAATGCAAAAAATCCAAAATGGCTGTCTGGGTAGGCCTTACAGGTAGCTGTGAAAAGAAGAGAAGTGAAAGGCAAAGGTGAAAAGGAAAGATATACCCATTTGAATGCAGACTTCCAACAGATAGCAAGGAGAGACAAGAAAGCCTTCCTCAGTGATCAGTGCAAAGAAATAGAAGGAAACAACAGAATGGGAAACACTAGAGATCTCTTCAAGAAAATTAGAGATACCAAGGGAACATTTCATGCAAAGATAGGAGAATAAAGGACAGAAATGTTATGGCTCTAAGAGAAGCAGAAGATATTTAAAAGAGGTGGCAAGAATACACAGAAATGTACAAAAAAGATCTTCACGACCCAGACAATCACAATGGTGTGATCACTCACCTAGAGCCAGACATCCTGGAATGACAAGTCCAGTGAGCCTTAGGAAGCATCACTACAAAAAAAGCTAATGGAGGTGATGGAATTCCAGGAGAGCTATTTCAAATCCTAAAAGATGATGTAGTGTACATGCTGCACTCAATATGCCAGCAAATTTGGAAAACTCAGCAGTGGCCATAGGACTGGAAAAGGTCAGTTTTCACTCCAATCTGAAAGAAAGGCAATGCCAAAGAATGGTCAAACTACCGCACAAATGCACTCATCTCACACGCAAGCAGAGTAATGCTCAAAATTCTCCAAGCCGGGCTTCAGCAATATGTAAAGCATGAACTTCCAGATGTTCTAACTGGTTTGAGAATAGACAGAGGAGCCAGAGATCAAGTTTCCAACATCCACTGGATCATCAAAAAAGCAAGAGAGTTCCAGAAAAACATCTATTTCTGCCTTATCGATGATGCCAAATCCTTTGACTGAGTGGATCACAATAAAGTGTGGAAAATTCTGAAAGAGATGGGAATACCTGACCATCTGACCTGCCTCTAGAGAAACCTGTGTGCAGGTCAGGAAGCAACAGTTAGAACTGGACATGAAACAACAGACTAGTTCTAAATAGGAATAGGTATATGTCAAGGATGTATATTGTCACCCTGCTTATTTAACTCATATGCAGAGTACATCATGAGAAACACTCAGCTTGGTGAAACTCAAGCTGGAATCAAGGTTGTCAAGGGAAATATCAATAACCTCAGATATGTAGATGATACCACCCTTGTGGCAGAAAGTGAAGAGGAACTAAAAAGTCTCTTGATGAAAGTGAAGGAGGAGAGGGAAAAAGTTGACTTAAAGCTCAACATTCAGAAAACTAAGATGATGGCATCTGGCCCATCACTTCATGGGAAATAGATGGGGAAACAGTGGAAATAGTGTCAGACTTCATTTTTTGGGCTCCAAAATCACTGCAGATGGTGACTGCAGCCATGAAATTAAGACGCTTACTCCTTGGAAGGAAAGTTATGACCAACCTAGACAGCACATTAAAAAGCAGAGACATTACTTTGCCCACAAAGGTCCGTCTAGTCAAGGCTATGGTTTTTCCAGTAGTCATGTATGGATGTGAGAGTTGGACTGTGAAGAAAGCTGAGTGCTGAAAAATTGATGCTTTTGAACTTTGGTGTTGGAGAAGACTCTTGGGAGTCCCTTGGAATGCAAGGAGTTCCAACCAGCCCATCCTAAAAGAGATCAGTCCTGGATGTTCATTAGAAGGGCTGATGCTGAAGCTGAAACTCCAATACTTTGGAGTTTGTGAAGAGTTGACTCATTGGAAAAAACCCTGATGCTGGGAGGGATTGGGGGCAGGAGGAGAAGGGGATGACAGAGGAGGAGATGGCTGGATGGCATGACTGACTCGATGCACATGAGTTTGAGTAAACTCTGGCAGTTGGTGATGGACAGGGAGTCCTGGCACTGAGATTCATGGGGTCGCAAAGAATCAGACACGATGGAGTGACTGAACTGAACTGTACTGTTTGAGCTGAGATGACTCCTCCTATCTTTCCTCTGGTTGCCCAGACTTTGGGGTTAACTTCTACTTCTGTCAAAGGTAAGCATAACTTTTTTTTTTTTCCATGTGAATTGAAGTCTACACTTTCGATAGACTATCTCTTCCTAGGATGGGGGTTTTGCTGCAGATGGATGGATGAGATGGGTGGACGGGGCCCCTCAGCTACATGTGGTGGGGCTGTGGCACGCTGGCCTGGCGGCAGAGCTGGTTTGTGGGAGACTCGGGATGGAGGGGGCTGGCCGGCGTCCCAGGCATCGCGAGACCACCCTCGTGTGTGTGGTGGTGGGACCCTCGTTTTCCTGGAGGCCGGCCATGGCTCGGTCTTTCTGATCACTAGACGGCACATGTACCCTTGTCCCCCCGCCCTCCCTGTGCGGGCTGGTTGCCTTTCTCTGTCACTGCCAGCTGTCCCCCCTCCTGGCCTGCCCCACACAGGTGACCGCCCAGCGCCCCCTTCCCCTGTTTAGGACCTAGCCAGCCTCACCTCATGTGGGTGTCGTTCCTTGGTCTCCATGGCTGGTGGCGTCCCTGGGCAGAGAAGTGCCCTCAGTCCCCAAGGGGTGAAGCTGGGCACAGCAGGTTGCACGTGAGGGCCGTGGAGGTGCCGGTATATGGCAGGAGAGCATTCTCCCTGACCAGTTGTTGGGGCACTGGGTGTTGGCGGTGGTGGGTGCAAGCCCTGACATCGGGGACCCATGGGCTCAGGAAGGGCAGTATCCGTCCTGGGGGGCAGAGGAGCACTCCTACGCTGGAGACGTCCGTTGGTGAGATCCCCTGGGGGTGACCCGGAAGTACTCGCATTCTCGCTTCCGTGTCACCTGGAATGGCTTCCGGGTCATCTGGTATGGCTTCCAGGTCCCTCGCCGTCGCTCGCGGCCACACCACCTCCACCGCCGTTTCTGTGCTACTGCCGCGTCTTTGCAACATGGACCTACGTGGCCGCGGTCCGTCAGTGCCTCGTCCGTCCTGTCTGCTGATCCCCGGGGCGCAGGCTCGCTCTCCCCCAAACTCAGCCGCGGCCCGAGCCCGGGACGGACACCGCAGCCCCCCGGCCCCGGACGCGCCCTCGCGGCGCCCCGTTCCCGAAAGCCGCACCCGGGGGCCCCCAAGGAGCCGCGCCACGCGACCCAGCTGGCCGCTGCGCTCCGCCCTCAGGTCGCGGGCTGCCTCCGCCTTCCCTGGCGCCCCCGGCCCACACCCCGCGCTCGCGGCCCCGGGCGTGGGCTGAGGCGCCGCCGCCGGGACCGGTCGGTCCCCGGACGCTCTCCTGGGTTGAGGCCGTCGCACCCCCGCCGCGTGGGAAAGGAGGGCGGCTGGCCAGGGCGACAGAGCTCCTGGTTTCAAAAAGTGTTAAATGCTCTCAGATATAATTTTGTATGAAAGTGTTAAAACAATAGAAAAGTGAAAGTCGCGCACTCATGTCCGACTCTTTGCTACGCCATGGACTATAGAGTGGATGGAATTCTCCAGGTCAGAACACTGGAGCCTTTCCCTTCTCCAGCGCATCTTCCCAACCCAGGGATCGAACCCAGGTCTCCCTCATTGCGGGTGGATTCTTTACTGTCTGAGCCACCAGGGGAAGCCCTGTTAGACAAAATTATTTACAACATTTTGAGTGAGAAATGCTTTTGCTTAGTTTCATATGGAGGAAAACAAATCACAGTGATAAGCCTCACGGTTGTCTAAAATACAGATATTTGCTGGAAAGCAGATGTTCCCAGGTTAGTGGCTCGGAATGAGCCTCTCAGAGAAGATTATTTTAGAAACCTTCGGATTATTTTAGGATTATTGGAGTAGAATGGTTAAGAGACTTCTCTGCAAGAGAAACTTTCTCTGCCATATTTAAAATAACTTTAGAAAGAAGAAACGAGCATTTCAACATGCATTTTCTTCCAGGAAATTCAAAATGTATTCTAAGAGTGGGCTAGTTACTTCCTTCACTTTTGCATGAGAAGAAAAGTAATTTTCTTTTAATAACAGAATCACTGAACAGCCGTGCCTAAAGTTAATAACAACCAGCATTTCAAATCTTTTTAGTGTCCCTAGGCAGAAGGCTACTGACAAGCAAATGGAACTCGGTAACTAATAAGCATTTTGTTCTGGTCAGACTGTATGTTTAATAAAGTCCATCTTTCATTTACTCGTATTTATTTAGCCCCTAATTTTTGTCAGGCTGAATGCTAGTTACTAAAAAGGAATAAATACAGGGATATAGAGTATAGTGAGAAGACAGATATATATATAAATAATTATACAAATAAATGCAAAATATCTGAACAGTGTGACAGAGACAGTCATAAGCCGTCATGAAAATTGAACAAATAAACAATAAGCTGTATTGATATACTTAGTCAAAGGTGTCAGAACTATCCCTGTAAAATCGGGTAGCATAGTATGTTTCATTTCTTAAATATGCTAATACCGATCTATGTTTATTTGCCTGTGAATTTGTAGGTTATTCATCACTCCAAGTACATCGGAGAAATAAAGATAATTTGAAATATCACGCCAGAAATACACTTCACTGACGGAGTTCAGACATGTGAGTACTCATTGCAAACTGTCATCTTGGTAGAAACCTGTGTTCATAAAATACATTTTGATCTCCAAAAAAGCATTTTGTATTTTTCAAGGTTAATAATGATTCTAAATGCAATGTCATTCAAATTATCTTCAGGCTAAATCTTTAAAAGTGTACACAGGACTTCTGGGAGGCAATGGAGTGTGAGAAAGAGATTCTCTGCTGACACCTTGTGAAACACCTGAAGCCAAGTGACATTTTATGATCCAGTGTCATGCAGACTCAAGGGGCGGAAAGGATGCCATGATTCTTCAGTTATTTCTGAAAATTTTAACTATGAGGTAAATACAGAAAAGACCTATCAAACATTTAAAATACTTATAAACTATCTTGCCAGCTCCTCGTGCCTTTTCCAAACTTGTGCCTTCTCCTGAATTTCCCAGAAAATTGAGTGTCTCACTATTCACTCAACTACAGCAATTCGAAACTTGAACTTCATTTTTTTTGTTAGTCAAATATTGTTTAATCACTGTTGAAGTTTCTACATACTAATACCACTCCAAATACCTTACTATATTTTAAAAGAAATTCTATTTGTCTTCTGAAATTTTCATGAAATTTTCATGAAATTTTCAGTACTTCCCAAACTATCTAGAATCTGTCACCATGGATTCCTCCTGCACAATTTAATGTGGAAAAATAATTTTGTAAAATGCAACAGGTATAAAGCACTAGAAAAATATAAGCAATGAAGACATATAAAATGCAAAATCTATTTTTATTAGAAAGAAGAAAGAAAATCACCTTACAGTAAATATATTCAAGATAAATATGATATGAACAAAGTACAAACATTTTATACATTGTTATGGAAACTATGCAAGGGGATTAATTTGGATAGCTCTTTTACAATTGATTGTTTGCCTCCTGCAGTATTAAATGAAGAAAACTGATTCTTCATCTTAACTACCTATGTGCAGAGATAAAACAAGCCCATTTGCCATATTAAACTTCAAACTATTGATATATGCAGTGTTTGTCCAATGTGTGCATACATTTTGACAACTGTAACTCAATAATGTATAAAAATGTGCTTGTTCAGTTATCTGTCAGTTTAAAGACATTCAGAAAACTAAGATCATGACATTCGGTCCCATCACTTCTTGGCAAATAGATGGGGAAACAGTGGAAAGAGGGGCAGATTTTCTTTGAGGGAGGGGGCCTCAAAATCATTGCAGATGGTGACTACAGCCATGAAATTAAAAGACACTTGCTCCTTGGAAGTCAAGTTATGACCAACCTAGCCAGTATATGAAAAAGCAGAGATACTACTTTGCCAACAAAGGTCCGTCTAGTCCAAGCTATGGTTTTTCCAGTAGTCATATATGGATGTGAGAGTTGGACTATGAAGAAAGCTGAGTGCTGAAGAATTGATGCTCTTGAACTGTGGTGTTGGAGAAGACTCTTGAGAGTCCCTTGACCTGCAAGGGGATCCAACCAGTACATCCTAAAGGAAATCAGTCCTGAATATTCATTGGAAGGATTGATGATGAAGCTGAGACTTCAATACTTGGACCAGCTGATGCAAAGAACTGGCTCTTTTGAAAAGACCCTGATGCTGGGAAAGATGGAAGGCGGGAGGAGAAGGGGATGACAGAGGATGAGATGGTTGGATGGCATCACCGATTCAATGGACATGAGTTTGAGTAAACTCCAGGAATTGGTGATGGACCAGGAGGCCTGGCATGCTGCAGTCTATGGGGTTGCAAAGAATCAGAGATGACTGAGCGACTGAACTGAACTGAACTTACACATGGATTATTTTTTCAATAGCAGATACTCCAGGGCTATCAGGTCTGTGGTCAGTTGCATCCACAGATGGGGAACCTGAATCGGGGGGAATCACCTGCCTATTAGGAGATCCAGATTCTGAATTTCATGTGGATTTTTGACTAGAGGGAGGGTGGGTGCCCCTAAGACATGCATTATTCAAGGATCAAGTGTATGTCTGAATGAAATTAAAGTCGAATCTCAAAGATGTATCTGCACTTCATTATTCCAGCTTAGAAAGAGGGAAATGCTGTCATTTGGAGCAAGATGGAGCAACCCAGAGCTCACTATGCTAAGTGAAATAAGCCCCAGCGGAAAAAGACGATGCCAGCTCTCTTACACATGGGGTCTAAAAGAGACTGACTGAAGTCGAGAGCATAATGTGTTTGCTGGCAGGAAATGGGGAGATGCTGCTCGCAGGTACAAAGCTTCAGTTACATAGGATCAATGAGTTCTGGGGATCTAACTTAAGGGCACACTGACCAATATTCATACTAAATTGTAAACATGAAATTTTCTAAATGGATCTTAAATTTTTTCCACAGACATGCACACATTTTTAAAAAGTAACTATGTACAGATGATAAACATGTGGCTTGATTATGATCTTTTTACAATGTTTACATCAATCAAATCATCAAGTTCTACATCTTAAACATACACAGTTTTATACTTATATGAAAAAGACACTAACAGCTCTAATGACTTCCTTTTCTATGTTCCTTACATTGTCACTTTGATAGTATTCATTTTCTCAGAAAAAGCAAAAATGTTTTTGTGCATGTGCATTTTTGGTAAAATCACTTTTTTTCAAACATTGTCTCTTCAACTTGAATTTAATGGGCACCTAATTTATGGACCAAGCACTCAGGCACTCATAGGTTCTGGATATGTCAAGAAGAATGAGAAATGATTTCCACCCTGCACGTACCACTAGCTACTGATCCAACACCAAGGCTTTGAAAATTTTTGAGTCAGTATAAAAATTGAATTTTCATCAACTGGTTTTAAAATTACTTTAAAAAGAAAAATATTTATAGACTAGTAAACTAGTTCACATCATGCAACCTAAGGATATGCTTGATGCTAATAGTAATAACGTTAAAATTATAAAGGTAAAATTATCTTCCATTTTCCTTAAGTTTGAGCCTCTGACTTTTGTCTTCTAATTTAAAATCTGGTAACTTCTTATCTGCAAGTCTATTCTATCACTGCTATTATAATCTTTAAGCTCTAGAGATCTTCTGTACATCACTGTACCTATTGTCAACAGTAGTGTATGATAGACTTAAAAATTTGTTAAGGGGGCAGATCTAATATTAAGAGTTACTACCACAATAAAATAACATTAAAAAACTCAAATTAATAACCTTAACCTCAGGTCTAAAAATTACAAGCTGCTTTTGATGTTATCTGGAAAAAAATAATTTTAACTGTATAATGAGATAGAGACCAGTAGTTGTACACATTGATTTTCCTATTCTTAGTAATAGATCCCAATCTTATGGGAGGCAATAAAATGCCCAATAAAGCACTACATTTTCCAGTCTCTCATTTCACCCTGTGGGTTTATTCTGACCAATAAAATAAAATACAGATATCTTATGCTCCTTAAAAGCAAATATCTTTCCTATCCCTTATTTCTGCTGCCTGGAATTTGAAATTGATGCCTGGAACTCCAGGAGGCATTCTGGTATCACTAGAAATATAAGATACACACTTAAGAGAGTGAGATAAGACGTAGGCAGTCATGAATCTCTGATGTGTATGGAACACTGCATTACCTAACACTGAAAACAAAGCAAGTGTCTTGAGGTCTTTCTTACTATACTTCTTTTAATGAGTTAGGAAAAATAATCTAAAATCATGTACACCTAGTATCCAATGATAAATAAACCTGTTTATTCCTCTTTTATCAAAGGATTATTTAATTACTAAAAATTCTGTGTCTAGCTCTAAGTTAAAAAAAAATATATGACATAA